AAAGTGGGAAAAACACTGGGTACAGTGTCAATACACTGGGGAAAAGGGATGATCCACGTGCCGAGTAAAAGGGAATGGGACTGTGCAGGATTTCATCACAATACTCAGAATAGCAAACAATTTCAAATTTGTTTATTTTCAGAACTTTCCATTTAACTCTTTCAAACCATAACTATAACCATAGAAAGTGAAACCACAGATAAGGGTAGACTGAGTAGTCCTTAAGCTGTTACTTAGGTGAACTAATTCCAAATCTTTCAAACTCTTGAACTTTAAAATGTGATAGATGAGTGAGTATGGCAGAGTTAAATAATATAAATTATTTAAGAATGTTTCCAAGATTTAAAAAGAGCCCAGATTTGCTTAAAATTACCCTCTCATTCCTTCAATTTCTTCTATAAAGTGTAATACCAGTACAGATCTCACAGGGTCATAGTGAAAATCAAATAAGCCACTATATTGGCACTAGGTGGGGCACATAAAAAAGCAAGCAATAAATAGTAAAATTTTTTAACAAATTATATGCTTTCCCAGTAACAGAGTATCTGGCTTCATATGGGATAAAGATCAATATTCTCTTTGATTTTCTCAGAAACCTATTACATATGATTGATAACTTAATTTTAAAAAGCCATATTTTGATTATAGTTATATCAACATGAATTTTATAGAGAGGGATGACATGTGAACAAGAAATACAATGATCAATTAAATTCTAAAAATTTATTACAACAAAAGATACACTGCCAATAATCCCCCTCAAAATACTCTCTCTCCATTCAAACACATTTATCCCATCATTCTTGCCACTTTCTGAACTACTCCTGAAAGTATTTTTTCATAAGAGTGTCTTTAGTTGTGCTGTCCTGGCTGCCTTGATATCCTGAATAGATTCAAAACATTTACCTTTCAGAGTCATATTAACTGTGAAGAAGAGCCAGAAGTCACACAGGGATAGATATAGTGAATAAAGTGAATGAGGAATGTTTTTAAGAACCTACCTTTCCCCTGAATGCCACTTGGCAACAGCATTCACTGTATTTTTTTAGCACACCTCTTAAAAAGCCTAACAAAAGACTTCAAGAATTGCCTTTAGAAAGTGGCAAGAATGATGGGTTAGTGTATTCGAAGCAAGAAGAGTATCTCAAGAAGGTTAATGGCAATCTATTATAATAAAAATTTGTATTTAAATATTCACAGTATATTCTGATCACCCCTTGTATATGTGTGGGTTGTTTTAGTCCACTTTCCTCTCTACGATACAATACTCAACAGCTACAACTTAAGGAAAGCGATGATTAATTTGGCTCCCAGTTTCAGGGGAATCAGTCTCAGTCAGCTGGCTCTAAGACAGAGCAAAGATGGTGGAGCAAAGATGCTTAGCTCATGGTGGGCAAGAAACAGGAGAGGAACAACACCAGAGAGGTGTGGGAAAGGGACCAGATATAGATCCCAAGGTCATGTGTCTATGACCAACTTAGACACACCCAGAAGTGCACATCACAAATCCACTGGGCAGACCCTAAAGCCAATCCAGTTGACAATCCAGCTTAACTGGCATATATGTGTACATAAATAACTTAGTCTCCATAGAACAGTATGAAAAAGTAATTATAGTCAATAGTTAATGTTAGGTACTTTATTTTAGGACTTTTACATGTAATATTAAATAAAAACAGAACCCCACATGTGGGTACTATTATTCTTCTAATTATACATACAAGGAGATTGAAGAGCAGAAAGATTAACTGCTCAAATTCACATGAAGTGTTAACTAATCCAGAATTAAAGCCAAGATCTATGTAATCTCCAAACCAGAGATCCTTATCAGCATGAACACTGTCATCACAAATAAGTATCAACCTACTGAAAATTCAATTTTGCAATCACTTACATACACAACATACCACTTAGTGACCTATAGGATTATTTATCATGAGTGATGAAAGAAATGCAAATGTGTAACTCAAAGCAGATGACAAGGATATTTCCTTCAATTATGATTATAATAGAAGTTCTAATGATAACACAACTCCAACAAACCACTTGATAAAATATACAGTTTAGAATTTTTTTGTTTTGGTTTTGTTTCAAAGGATTTTCTTTAATAATTTAAGTCAAAACATGGCAATTTTCACTTTAATTTGCTTTGGCCTATGATAACATACTATTAACTACCCTAAATAGATTCCCACTGAAATGTAAAATAATAATGATGACTTTCTTCTCTCAACCACTATTACACTAAAGAGGTCATTATGTCTTACTACATTTTCAATCAGACATAAAGGAGAAGGAAAATGAATTAACATCTCAAACAACCAGTAAGACCCCTACAAATGTTTTAAACTTAATCATCACAATTACTATATGTGCAAGATATAACTATTTCCATTCGGAAATTAGGAAATGAAAACAAAAAGATATTGACAAGAACACCCACCCAGTAAAAGACAAATCCTGAATTTGAATTTGAAACTAATTCTAAAGCCTTGCCACCAGGGATTCCAGAAGCAGTGTCAGCTATGCTCTGCAGACAATGCATACTCTCACCAACGCTAATCTCCTAATTTTGCATTTCTCTCACTTATCCCAGAACCAACATGAATGGAGAATTTGTGTAGGAAGAAATACATACACAACATATAAATTCCCATTTCAAAACAGTGATAGAACAATTTAAAGATGTTTTAACAACATACTAAAACTTGAAAACAACAAGAAAGCAAATGTTATTCAATATCAAATTAGTCTTTACATGTATTCTGTTGCCAGACAGTGAGTGTGGAAATTATCACTGAAGGGAAAGCAACATGTCTGATTGAGTATGAAACAAAATGTTTAGGGAATTAGCTGGATTATTTTGTTTCAGGTTTCCCAATTTTTAAATCCTTTATATAAGTCACTGTTTCATTGTACTACAGAACTTTAGGAAATGGACATTTCCTTAAATACTTGAATTGTTTTGTTAGAATATGAAAACATTACTTTTAGAGAAGCTATCAAATGACCTTGATGATCTACACAACATTCATTATAGACTGGTAAACATTTGTGAAAATCCTCACTGTGATGATTGATTGCATTTTTCCTTGCTTCAGTTACCTCAAACTAAATTGCCTGTCATTAAGATTATGACTTCTGTCGATGTAGTTTCTTAATCCTTCCTCAGTCCTTTCTAGCAATGACAAGCTCAGAATAATATATTGTAACTCTTCATGGATCAATAATGCTCAGTATAAAATACTGAAGTCTTACCACCAGGATTTTTATTCCCCAATATATAATGATCTCTGACAAGCTAACTAGCAGCAAAATTTCTTACTAAGGAGAAAAAAAAGACATCTAACAAACAAGTCAAATACAATATTATAAACACCATATGCCAATCTAAACAAGTGAAGAATTTTGAGTGAAGCTCAATGATAGCACAATGCTTTTATCCTAAAGTAGCTAATGACTGAGATGTCATTTGCAGACTATTCAAGAAAAAACAATTATTTTTCAGGCCTTGAGACATTTTGAAATGATTTATAGGAGGTTATTTATGTGAAAAGACTTCTCTACAATGTCAGAAATGAAAGCTTCCACTTAAAAAGCATAAAACATAAGCCAACATGCATATCCTCATTAATTTTTTTCCACAGGTAATTTAAAAAGACATTTTACTAGTTTAACATGTATTTAGATTATACCCTTGATGTCTTTATATGAAAACTAGACTATACTTGCTTTTAAACACTACAATTTAGGTATTTTCATTTAAACCAACATTACTTAGAATAAATGTCATTATATCTATAAAAACAGCCATGATACTGCTTTACAACTGACATAGACTCTCTTATTTAAGGAGATATACTAAGTCTTTTCTACATCGCCAGGTTTCATGATTTATTCAGCTCAACTAACCTGAAATCTTTGACAGCACTTAAGTAAAATGAAAATTTTGAACAAGTTAACAATTCACTGTATTTTTCCTCCCAAATTATTTGACTACCGAATGAGTAGAAATAATGTTTTTTTATTATTAGGTTTCATGGAAAAGAAATAAAGATTTTCTTGCATTTGGAAAATTAACTTGGCCAATCAGTTTAGACTAAACTTTCTGAAGGGAAAAATTTAACCTCTGTGCATTTTTTCTCAAGAAAATGAGAGTAATTAAAGTTGAAGAAGTAAAAGAAGTAGGAGGAAAATATAGACACCATGAAAACAGAGATCTAACACAGAAAAGAAATCTAAATTGAAATAGAAGGGCTGAAGGTCCCGGGAGAAAAAAAATAAACCGACTAACTAATTATGTTATTTATCTAGTTATATTGAAAAGGGTTTAGAGTTCTGGCAAAGTTAAAAGAATCAGTATCTGCTAGAAAACTAAACAAACAGAAAAAAAGGAGTCAGTAAACTTCTCTCAAAAAATAAATAAAAACAAATTACTCAAGGGGGAAAAAACTGAACATAGTACACTACAGACTAAGTTGCAAATGTTTACATATTCATAATGGTATGATACAAGTATATTGGAAAGATGAGAAAAAAAGTAAAACAAAAAAATGGTAGGAGAAAGAAAAGTGTCAAATCATTTTATTGCAGAGTAAAAAGGCATGTAATTAAAATTGAAAAATCAGAAAAGGGTGGTATGAAATAGGGAAGGGGGCAGATATGAAAGCAACTTGAAGAGAAAAAATGTGAACAGAATTGTCTCTCTGAAGAGGACCAAGGAATGGAGAAAGAAATTATCTACTCTTTAAGCCTAACATAGTCTGACTTTTTCAACAATGTATACTTTGAGGAAAAAATTAAAATTAATTGAATAAAGTAGAGCTAAATGAGCCAAAACTGGTAAGAGTAAAATAAAATGACTGTTGGGGAAAAAATAAAATTGGAGAAAGTTAAGTTCAGTGGGATACTATTTACATCCAATTTAAAGGCAGAAAACCAAAACAAAGAGAGAAGTATATAGCTTTTGAAATTAGGGAAACTGGAACTCCTCTACTTACTAGTAACGTCAGGACAGGCAAATGTATTATCAGCTCTCTTAGCTTGGTTTTTCTCATACGCAAAACAGGAAATAATAACTGCATCTATAATGATACATTGCATCTGTTACGTGGTATACACATAATAATGTTATTATTTTTTATTTTTCTTCACTTAATTTTTCTATAGTGAATATGTAAATTTAATTCAAATTTTTTAGCAAAATGTTCAAATGTTGCTTCAATTAAAAAGTTGCTTCTACTTCTTTTTGGGGGGGGGGTACTGGGGATCTAACTCGGGTCCTTGTGCTTGCGAGGCAGACGGCGGAACCACTGAGCTAAATCCCCGGCCCCCTACATATATTCCCTGAACTGAACCCACACATAAACAAACACTGGACAAATATTTAAAGAATTATCAGTTTGGGGCTGGGGATTTAGCTCAGTGGTTTCCCCACCTGCTGCACAAGCACAAGGACTCAAGTTCGATCCCCGGTACCAAAAAAAAGAATTATCAGTTTGTAGGCATGCTCTGGCCTCTACCTCTATTTTTACTCACTCAACAGAAATTGGCCACACGTTATGTTTCAAGGAACAGCATAAGAATAAATGAGAAATACAAATATGCAGTTTCTATGCTCAAATAGCTTACTGTAATCAAGATAGAGAAGCAGAGAGAGAAGTAAACACAGTATGATATGTATGTCATGGCTTTGACTGTCAGTCTGGAGTTCCAATCCTACAACTGTGTATTGAAGAAAAACTCTTAAACTCCAGGATCCAGTCTATGTAAAAATTTGAATAACAGAAGTTTCCTTGCAGGGTTTCCTAAGGGTCAAGGTAATGTCCTTAAAGCTATTATCATGTGACATAGGTTCTCTGTATTTGGTAACTCTTGTAGGGCCAGGGATTTAGCCCAGTGGTTCTGGCGCCTGTCTCGAAAGTGCAAGGTCCCGAGTTCAATCCCCAGTACCAAAAAAAAAAAAGAATTATTGTAGAAGATAAATTCAGAAAGGAAAAATTCAGGGGAGAATCAGCCTACGTATGCATCTGTGTTACTCTGAAAATGTTCACAGAAATACTATATAAATTCATAGCAAGACAATTTATTTTCAGATAAGAAAAGAAAAAGCAGAAAATATTTTTTTAGAGATACTGGCATTTTAAATACCACATTCCATAATTTCCTAAAACCCATATTTTCATATTTTAACATCTGTGAAACAGGATGTATCTGGCAATGCTGACATGTTAGTTTAATAGGCAACATTTTTAGTTCTAGGTAACTAATTATCTCAGATTGTGTGGTACAGTCCATAAGAACAAAGAGAATGCTATAGAATGGCAATACTAAAGGTACAATACTAGAAATGCCAGGTTACAAACATTGGCACATATAATTCAGGTTGGTTGGCCTATATTTGTACACAAAAAAGAACTAGGAAGCAATGCTAAAAAGGCAGAGTACTACATTACCTTTCTTCCCACTATGTCATTATCACACTAGATTAACTTACTAATTGTTGTATGGTAAATGGTGTTATTTGGTAAGGTGAATACATCTTAGTGTTCTTCAACATCATTGGCTTTCTTGTCTTACTTTTCCACGTCAATTTGACTGTGTGTGTGTGTGTGTGTCTATGTGTGCGTGTGTGTCTATGTGTCTGTTACTAATGACTGAACTCAAGGCTTTCTGCATGTTAGGCAATCATACTACCACTGAGCTACATATCTAGTTCCCCACATCAATTTTAAATCACAATGTCAAAACTAAAAAACACTAGCTGCGATTTTGATTGGACTTTTATTTAACTTATCAAAGGGATTTTGGGAGAATTTCTATTCTTTTATGTTTTCCCATCCATGGTATTTATTCATTTAGATCTTAGGTCTTTCAATGAAGTTGTATTCTTTTTTACATAAAGGTTATGCACATCTTTTGTTGAACTTGTTCCTTGGTATTTTATTTTTGGAAGTTATTATCAGAAGTGGTATTTGAATTACATTATATAAACTGATGGCATATCTAATAATCTAAAGTACATCTGGCAAAATAATATTATGATGTCTAACCTTGCTCTTCTGTATGTTGAGATCACAATTTAAAAATTAACAAAAATGTGCATGAAATAAGAATATTTTTTTTGGTACCGGGGATCAAACTCAGGACCTTGCTCTGGCAAGGTAGGCAGTGGCACCACTGAGCTAAATCCCCAGCCCATGAAATAAGAATATTAAAATCACAAAAGTCTAAATAAAACATTTATAACATATATGTAATTTCACTTAATAAAGAACAGATTTAAATTGTTCTGGGAAGAACAAGCAACCAGGACTTATGTACGCTGTATTCTACATATACAATTTTAGACTATTAAATACTCAACTAATTCCATTTCTTGAATTTTGAAATTAGTAATATGGTGGTAATGGGTAATGATATCAAAACAATTATTTTCACTCACTTCTGTGATTATATTCTGTCAATTCTCAACTGTCCACATAAACAGAAAGAAGCACTGATATATGCAACTGAAAATCACAAATTATCCACCCAGATGAGTTGAAGATACACTAAAAAGTTAAGAATCCTCTAGATCTGTAAGCATGCAGAACAGCCAGATCATCATCATTTGTTCTCCTTTCCCTTAAGACAACTCCACTGATCACATGTATGATAGCTAATGGCAGAGAACTGAAATTTACTAACACTAGAAATGAATTATAGAAAGTTGATTCTGGTTGTAAACTAAATTGGACAAGAATCAAATCAAATTCAGTGGTTAGGTTCAAAGTTGACCTTATGAGGAAATTTAATTTGTTCTCTTCCAGTTCAGCTTGTGACCAGAACTGTGGAGAGAAAGGAGTTCGTAAACCAAGGTACCACTGTGTGTCTGTGTCTGTGTGTGTGTGCACATTTATTTTTCCAAAATTTCTGCTACTTAAATTCTACATTCTTCTTTTTCTCATTATCCTACACTTTTACTGAAGGCCATTAACTAATTAAAAAATAAAGCTGGTGATGCTTTTGGACTACCATACTCCCCTGGGTGTCAAATCTTTAAATACTTGACTGCCTACATGGACATTCCTAAGCATTCCTTCTCTGATACCTGCAACAAGACATGTTTATTACTACAGTCCACCTCACTCCTGAAACTAGGTCTTTTTTTGATTAGTTGTTATGTAGCAAATAGCACCTCTAGCTAGGAATCTAAAAGTCTAGCTCTAGTACTACAAAAAACATTTTGAATCTCAATGTCCAATTAATCATCAAGATCTGCTCTTTGATTGTATTTTCCTAATATCTTCTATTGTTACTCAGTACAACTGCCTTAGTTCAAGCAGTCATCATTTCTTTCCTGTATTACACCAATAATTTCCTTAATAGATCTTTCTACCACAAAGTAACCAGAATACAATAATCTTCCAAACATGTAAATGGGTGCACATTATTCACAAGCTCAAACTTCTTTAATGCCTCCACAATACATAACTGAAGAATAGAATCCAAAATTGCTAATATAATATTCAAAAAAGCTTTTATATCCTACATGTCATGGTCCACAGTCCCTCATCCTGACCTTGCTTTCTAAATACCTCCACTCCCCTGGCACGTACTGTTCCATTTATTTTTAATTATTCACTTGGAATACTTGTCAGATTAATATGAACTAGCTGAAGAATCATTACCTCACAGAAATCTTTCATGAACTTCCAAGACTTAACAATTCTCTAAATGTTTTTGAATCATGCCTTGTTTCGATTCTTATAACATCATATTTTAATTTTCTATCAATAACCTAACTAGTATTCCAATAAGACACAGATTTTGCCTAACTCATCTTCCTGAGTATTTCACAAGTACTCTGTTTTTGGTCTCTCTGAGTTGTTTCCTTGAGTAAGAATTTTTGGATTCTGCTTCTTTGCTAAAGTTTTCGATACAACTTCCCACTTTCATCAATGGACAGATAAGACAGACAAAAAAGAATCAACACAGAACTATCAGAATTAAACTACACTATAAACCAAATGGACCTAAAACACATTTATAGAAATTTCATCCAGTAGCAGCAAAATATATATTCTTCTCAACACATGGAACGTATTCCATAATAGATCACATGTTCAGCCACAAAACAAGTCTCAACAAATTCAACACAACTAAAAATCATAGCGTGTATCATCTCTGGAAAAATGGGATAAAACCAGAAATCAATACAAGAGGAACATTTCATAATATTTTACAACACAGAAATTAAGCAACATTCTCATGAATGATGTTGCTCAGTGAAGAAACCAGAAGGGAAATTCAAAATGTCTTCAAATAAATCAACATGGGAAAAAAAAATACCACACCAAAACCTCTAGGACAGGGCAAGGGCATTATTAAAAGGGAAATTTATAGCAAAAGGTGCCTAAATTTTTTTAAATCCCAAAGAATTCAAATTAGAAAACCTAATGTGTAACTCAAAGAATTAGAAAAGCAAGAACAAATCAAACTTGAACTTAGTAAAAGAAAAAATAAATAAAAGAAAAGCAAGAACAAATCAAACCTGAACTTAGTAGAAAGAAAAAATATAAGATCCAAGAAGGACTTCACACACATACATATACATACTTTTTAAAAAGATTAATGAGACCAAGCAATTTTTTGGAAACATAAACAAAATTAACAAACCTTTATGGAGTATTAACGTGAAAAAAAAAAAGAGAAGACCTGAATAAATAAAATCAGAGATGAAAAAGGAGACCTCACAACTGATACCACAGAAATAAAAAGGATCAGTAGAGACTACTATAAACAACTATACTCTAATAAACTGGAAAACCTAGAAGAAATGGATAAATTTCTGGACACATATAACCTAAGAAAATTTAATAATTAAGAAAAAGAAAGACTAGTAACAAGTAATGAGATTGAGATAGTAATAAAATGTCTCCTAAAAAAATAACAGCCCAGAATTGATTGGCTTCACTGTTGAATTTTGCCCAATTTTTAAAGAAAACTAACACCAATGTTTTTTTAAAATAGTCCTAAGTACTGAAAAGGAGGAAGCCCTTCCAATATTACCGTAAAAGCCAGTATTAGCCTCATACTTAAA